AGAATATAATGAATATGTTTAGGATATGCAGAACACAAATGAAGTACTGAGAAAATGCAAGATAAACAGAGGACAGAGATGACATTTGAATCTGTCTAGTCCCTTGTTCGGTAAGCTATACCTTCCGTAATGTTCTTTCAGGTGGATGCAAGAAGATCATTTCTCATATTTCATTACTCTCATATTACTTTGTTTCCGAGCACCAAATCCTTTCAGTACAGGGATAACAACGGTTACGTAGTTCTACTTGTTTGTTAGGGTGTCAACAATACCAAATAAACAAAGTACTTGAAATGAGACGCTTCTATAAAGAAAAAATGGTAAAAAAAAAGAAATTTTAAATGAACATAGTAATAGGAAGAAGTGCTAAGAAGTATAGAAGAACGCTTATTTCCTTGCTTTTGACATATATAGATGCAACAAGAATGTTGTTATTTCATTTTTGACAATAGCTTTTCTTGTGAAATTCATTACACCTGCGATTTCTCAGTAATTTTGTCAAAGAGAAACTATGAGGATTTTCTAATTACTTTCAACTACTTGAATGTACCTCAAGTAAAAGCACGTATTATAAGGTTTCTAAAAGTGACACGAAGCATAGTACACAGTACTTTTTAAATATCGTTAAAATCAAACTATTCAATGGAATGTCAAAGACACTATTCTCTTTCATTATAGCATTGCTGGAGTTTTGATCCGATTGAAATATTGAATAAATTTTCTAAACGACTACTTTGATCAAGAAAGATAAATTATCGTTACGTTATTGGATAACTGATAATTGAAAACTGGTTACCATAGCTAATTTCTCGATAAGTAGATAGTATTTTAGAAAATAATGAATTTTTATCAAGTTTGACGAAACCCTTTTTAGGTGGAGTAATCCAAATTCGTAATTAGTTTTGACTAGTAAAACTACCTATTGGATATAATAAGAAAAAGAAAAAAGGTTTTTTTTTCTTTTATTCTTTGTCAATCTCAATATGTCATCTTATTTTAAAAAATGATTCAATATAGAATAGAATAAAACGCTCATTTATATATATTTTTGCTATATAAAACTTTTAAAATATTAACAAAATAAGAATATATCGAATTTCATTTTGTTTTTCAACGTTAGAATAAACATATGATAGTATCATAACTTATAATAAAAAGAAAGGTTCAAATTAAATTGAGAAGTTAGCCAAAAATCTAATTTGATTTATCATTTATTTCTTTACTTCATACAACTATATTCAAATCAAACTTAATTATCTAAAGTTGAGTGTCTCGACAATGAATTGCCAACTATTCCGAAATCATTTTTCAATAGATTCTATACAAATATAACAAAAGTAGAACTATTTATTATTTATGCAATTCATTGAGTATAACTACTTATTGTTGTTGTTTAAAATCGATATTTTATCATGAGTTAGAAATTTTTGAATTTATTTTTGTAATAAATATCTTATCAGAAATACATTCGATCTAGTCATTTTCTTCAAATACTATGTACATTTAATATTTCAAAACAATAAAACAAAATATGAACAGATAAGATTTATAAATGAATCAAAAGTTAAAAGAAATATTTCGATTTTACACTTATAAGATATTGATTAGAAGAGAAACAAATAAAATTTCTCATTCTTATTTTACATCATTAGTATTGTTTTTGATTTGCAATAAAAAACAAGAAAAAAGAATTGTCGTTCACGGTTACCAGTTAGAATTTTAACACAGATAGAAATTATAGAGAAACTCATAGTCTATTCATCAATTTAACTTCTGTAGAAGAAATAATCTAGCGTATTGTAAAAAATTATAGAATCACTTGCCGACCTTGAATTCTCTCGAATTTTATTCTTGATCAATATGACTTGTTTCTTAGAAAAATTTACTAGTCATATCTATAGAATCATCTCTACTATTTCAGTATTTATTGCAATAAATATTGAAATAACATATATGAATCTATATATTGACAGAGAATTTTTCTAACGAAAAAGTCATATTAGTCAAGAATAGAATTCAAAGTTAGAAAGTGATTCTATAATTTTTCACAGCACTCTAGATTATCTTTGATATTAATAATTGTTAAATATACTGGTTTATTCTTACATGTTTTAATTTAAGATTGTCAAAGAAATTTTATATTGTTTTTTATTGTTTATTAAACAAAAAAGAAAAAAATTAACTAATATATAATGCTACAATGTTTGTTTATTTTTCTTGTTTGAGAGCTTTTCCTTTTCGTTAATGTGCCATTCGTATAGAATTCATTGTTAAAAATTCCCGTAATTCATCTCTATATAGAAGAAAAAAAAACGATATTATTAAATTAAAATAATATGTAATACTTACGTTAATCCACCAAGACCTATTGATGGAAAAAAATTGATGGAAAATCGAGTATTTTCTGATTTATCACGAGGAAAAAGACCTTGAATATATTCTGTCAATGTTCTACAATATAAAACAAAGAAAACAATAGAAATTAATCGTTTTATTTTTAAATTACATACGAATCAGTTAAACGTTTATTAAGTTGATTTAAACCAAGAAATTCAACTAATTCCAAAAATAAAATTTTTATATAAACACGTGATGATGATGTTGTATCTTGTTCAGTTAAACGAATACAATGAAGTACCTAGAAAAACAATTATGATTGTTTTTTATTTATTTTTTTTTTCATTCAACAAATACATACATTCCATGATATTGCATTAGTAACAAGTAAATGTGCAAAAAATTTTGCAACATTTCTTAATTTAATATTTTCAAGACGATGAACAATTTCATATTGATCTTGAAAAATCTTTTCAAAACATTCAATATATACTTTTTTCAATAAACAAAAACGTTGACCAAGTAAACCAAAAAAACGTTCATATGATCGTTGTTGTGCACAACTATCAAGAATCATTTGACATAATTCAATCTAAAATTTAAATTCAATTAAATTTTAGATTGTTTTCAAAAAAAAAAGTACATACTTCTTGTCCTGGACGTATATTCATTTTAAGTAATTTATGTGCACATTCATCAACATCAATACTTGATTGAATTGTTAAATATATTGTACGACGAAGTGTTACTAAATTTGTTTCTGTTTGATCAACAATTGTTTGTTGTTCTTCTATGAAAAAGATTCAAATTTATCGAAACATGAATTTCTTAGAATAAATTTATTAATTTCAAAACAAATATTTGAGCTTATTATTATTATTGAAA